CTGATCGTATCTGCGGTACTTAATAGCATGTTTCTGTGAACCTTCACTACCCTACCGGTTTGCTGGACCTGTCATGGTATCATTGTAGAAAGAACACAGTTTAATCCAAAAAGAAATCACATTAAACACATCACTGAAATAACATGACCGATCACGCTGCCATTTTGCGTCCACTAAAAGAGTAGGTGATGAAGAAGAAGCAGATTTCCTTTTCCCCCCATGGTCCATAGATTTATGTATACAGATAATGTTTTCAGTTGGAATATCCCCAAGAATATGAAGCTGCGCTACTTGAGACCTTATATACGATCGTCGAAGATATTTCGGAGAGACAAGGAACGGTAAGTATGTTCCATCATGCCACTAATGACAAAGGTTCCCAAACTTATTGTGCCTACCGCCTCCATTTTCAACTAAAACAAAATTACGCAGACTTTCTGTATATCTGGGGGCCGCTGTGCCTCGGTGGTTGCCTTTTGGCCAGATGCTTGTCAGTTCAGTTTAGTTTACACACTAGAGAAAAAATATTTAAAACGAAAAAAAAAAAAAAAGAATAGCGCATCATTTATAAAACAGATATTCTGCAAATATATTTAAATCCTATCCTGATATATGGAAGTGAATCATAGACAGTTGGATGATTGGTGAAAAATTATTTTGAAGCCGTCCGTTACCTTGCTGTAGAAAAAAAAAAGGTCGCGTTCAACTAGCACCACTGAAGGGAAAGCTTTAGGTTATTAAGGTGACTAGGCTATGTGTGCCGCATACAATAGCTCAGCATTGCACACCACAAGAGCACTGAAAAGGATTCCTCTAGTGTTAATTAATGCGATCAATGGAGAAAGACCTAAATACTGTCACGAATTGTGACAAATTCGTCTACCGGCGAGCCAGTGGTGAGGTTTTATAGACAAATGATGAGAATACACACAAACAAAGAGAAGATATAAGAATAGTGATGAAATTGTTTCTTGGAACAGCAGTCTACAAGAAGAATGACATTCTACAAGGCAAAAGGCCGACCAAGAAAGAGATGGGTAGAGGGAGTAAAAGAGACACTGCATAAAGGCAATATAACATTACCAGATGCTACGGGACTAGCAACAGACAGTAAACTACGCATGTTCATCTAACTACCCTCTGTCACTCTTTGTGGCATAAGCCCTACGCAGCGGAAGCAAAAGAACAACAAGAAGAATCCTGTCCTGAAAGTAACGGACTCAAGAAGAGAACTGAGTTTCCACATCAGAAGACAATCTAAAATTGTTGGTCATGTTATGAAAACAAGAAAACTGAACTGATCAGATTATTATAATTATTATTATTATTATTATTATTTATCGGGGCCTCGCTGACGTGGCCGTCAAGCGGCTTGCCCCGTGCACTGAAAGTCTTCAAGTTCGTGTCATGAACCCAGAAACCGGTCATTCAGTTAACGAGATTGAAGAAAGAGAAGAATGTAGAAGAAATACTCGATGTTAAAAGTGAAGTTAAGGAATTATGAACTTCGTGCACTTACTATCTATTTGCAACATTCTCAGTATACAGCCAATTGTTAGCTGTACTTGGAGGCTACTACTTTGCTTTAGGCCCCCCTCCCACCGACCTTTTTTTTTTTCTTTCTTTCCCCTCTCCATCAACCACCCCCTTCCCCCTCCATCTCACAGGTCCCTTGTAAATGGATGTTTTTCTGTTACTTCTAGGCTGGTAATCAAGGGCGTTTTTTTTTTTCTTTTCAAAACCGCCGGGCGCGGATTTTAACTGAAGACCTTCGGCAGGCAAGCAACCATCTACTAGCTTACCGCAGCTTCCGCGTAATCATTTACCCAGTATTTAATCAACCATATTGTTAGTGACTAGAAAAGTATTCTCCGTATTTAGTATAAACAAAAACAGATAATGTATTGATCGGCGCTCAAAGAAAGAAGTAGAAAAATAGGACACATCAGAAAACATAGAAATCGACAGAAATGGTTACCATGCCGTGAATCGAAGCTGTCACCTCCACATGGTGTGTGCGCTTCGCTATAGAAACAAGTTTACTAAGAACATGGCCGCTCAAAAAAAAAAAGGTGTATTCACTTGCCATGTCTATCGTGCCGCCTAAAATCCACAATTATTGAATACCGACAGAATTCATCGTTTGTTTTTATGTGAATTCTCACTGAATTCCACTTCTTTCTATGAGTGACGATCAAAGCGTTTTCTGTTTGTTTATATATATATATATATATATATATATATATATATATATATATATATATATATATATATATATATATATATATATATATATATATATATGGCCTCAAGCGTCCCCCTCCCCACCCCCGTTTATTTATGTGAATCTTCTGTCTAGTAGTTCTAAAATTAGTATTCTGTTGTCCCACTGCCTATGCCAGTTAGCGTCGTAGAGAGGAGTTGTAATACATTTCATAAATCATGCCCAACTTTTAAAATCTGTAATTCAGTAATCGTTCAGTGTAAGTTGTTAAAAATGGCATGCAGCCTGTATGACTGTTGAAGATTATTATTATTATTTTTTTTTTTTTTAATGTAAATAAACCTCCTGTTTTCATGTTGCAAAACAACATTCTGTACGCTTGTCATGGCGTCATACTCTCAGGTAGTCATCTCCAGCATTTGTCTCCGGTGAGTTGCGGATCTGTCATTGTATGCCCTATAGGCTATCAAAATAAACCCCACACATCACAGCAGATGTGAACGATTTCCACGGGTATGTCAGTTACTGTATAGTCAAACTGTTGGGGGGGGGTACACAAATTATTAGTCAAAGATCAAGAAATTCACAACTTTGTGAAAACAGCAGCGCAACCAACTGTAAATTATAAAACCATAAGTACAGGGCAAACCCAAGGCCACATGAAAGCATTCGTGAGGATCTGTACGGGAGTTTTGAGATATTTGCTAGAAGTCTCCGTTCTCTAGTTTTGAAACGCACTACATATGTAATTGCCTGTCTTTTACCAGTTGTTAAAAGCTTGTGTTAATGTCATTTTGCGTTAATGTAGTGTCTTTTTTTAAAAACTCCATTTACACTTCTCTTGTGTGTGTGCGTGCGTGTGTGTGTTTGTGTGCGAGCATGCGCGTGTGCGCGATTGTGCATGTGTGTGTGTGTGTGTGTGTCCCTCCTGCCTTGTAGCCTTTTTTCCTCATGTAGTACTTACTCTCTAGCTGCTGGTTGATGCTGTTCCAATCTGACCCGATGACTAAACTGTCTGAGTAATCGATGTTCTATGAAATGTTAGGCAAGTATTCGTTGTTCTTAGTTCTTCATTAGTTGCACTGTCCCTTCTTGTTTTTGCGATCGCATTTCTTATAAATCTCATCTTACATGTTGAATATTTGCCTATACGTTTTTTCTAAGTCTGCCCATGTTTGCCATTGATACAACAAAACTGGTAGAAACAGTGCCTTTATCAGCTGATTTTTTGTGTGCGCGTGTTGATATTTTGATTCTTCAGAAGTGCTGCAGTTTGGTTATTTATGTTGTTGGCCTTATGTATTATATTTTCTATTTCTCTGTCCAATCCTCCATCGTCAGTGAGTACGCTGCATTACTTTATGTAATGTCTTTAAACCTTGACCAAAGGTACATTTTCCCGGTCTTTCTTTTATGCTCAGTGCCTTTTGTCAAGCGGCGTCCGTGGCTTAGGAGTCCGACTCGTGATCCAACGTACCGCGATCGAAACCCACTGCTGGCTGCGTGGATTTTTATCATGGTATGGGGCGTCGCAGGTCGACCCAACCTAAAATGGGTACCAGGATGGCTGTCCTAGGAAAGTAAAGACGGCCGGCGTAATGCTGATTACCCATCCAGTGCCGATTGGTCTGTAAAAATATGGGACGCTCTTCCCAAATGCCCGATGCGCCTAAGGCGTAAAAAGGGATCTTTACTTTTACTTTACTTTACCTTTTATCAAGTCTTGACCAACGTCAAGCATATGGTGTTAATCTCATACATTCCTAAACCATTCGCTACAAGAAGGCTGATATAATCAGTATATCGCCAAGCTTCATTATTTGACATTTCTTTGAACTGGTCTTCTCAATTGTAGGTCATCTTTCTGCTCTTCTGTATAATTATCATTGCATGGTGCATATAACTGTATATATGTTTCAGCTTGTTCTCCTCTTTTAATTTTCAAAGTAATAATTCTATCTGAGTGATAATCTATGTCTAATATGTAGTTTGATATGTCCGGACGCACCAGGAAACCCCCTGCATTCTTTGATGTTTCTCCTCCTGCATATGTTAGTAAGTAGCCTCTGTGTATTTTCTTGTTACTATTTCCCTTGCGTCTTATGTCAGCTAGGCCCCATTACCTTGATTTTTCTTTTTTTCCCCCATCATTTCAATAATCTCTTCTGTTTTATTTCCCAGGCCAGCGGTGTTAAGTGTTGCAATCTTGTAATTCGCTTTTCTGTCTCGTAGTCCCTTAACATTGCCATGGTCAGATACCGTTTGATCAGTCCGTTTATATCTCATTGTATTTTCTGAAGTGATAATAAATCCATTGCTGGCTTGCTAGGCCTGTCGCAACTTCACCAGAGCCCCGTTGGCCAGAACGTTTTGGGGTGACTTCATGGCTACCGTAGCGGTCCCTTGGCACGAGGCCACACCATACTTTGCCCACACCTAGCAATCCCCTACTTTGTTCTGTTACCACCTCTCACGACGCGGACGTGGGGTTGGCCTTTCAGAGGCAACACATTAGTCTATAAAAACCTGGGTCTAGCCTGAGCTTGTTTTCTAAAAGGAACAAGTGGCAATACTTAACGCAAAAAGTCTTTTAAAAAAAGGTGCCAATATACACTGTAAAGTGGCTGTTAGATTAGCGATAAAAACCAAAGATGGCTAAAAAGGTACGGGTGCTACGTGCGACCATAAACAAGCCGTGGGTCTAGCACCTGATGCGCCCCGGGCGTGAAAATGTTTCCTCTGTCTTGATTTGCCAACATTGTTTTTACTCTACCAGAGAACTCCCAGCCTCAAGTCCATCGTCCACAAGGACTTTGTGGCCAAAGGAGCCTGGCTGGATGTCTTCAACTCCGACCGGTATCTCCACATCCACATGGGCATGGCTGATGTCACCATAGATGTGGCTGGCCTGCTTCAGTCGCCGGCTTTTGACTACGTGTTGTACACATTTGTCAACATTGGAGTAAGTTTGATGTGGGCGGGGTGGGTGAAAGGGGTTGGGTAAAACTAACCTTGGTCTCGCCAGATCCCACCCATATAAACTAGCTCACTTCTGATTGGTAGACCTTGAGCCACGTGATTTTAGCACACGGTTACGGGGGTCTTCCACAATGCCATTGATATGGAGAGTTGTACATGTCAACACGCCAGCGCGTTTACCACTCCAAAAACATGGATAAACTGGGCCTAACGCAACCCCCTAGAGAGTGTTGCAACCTATGTCACGGACATTCTCTTTCTTAGAATGAAAACGTAAATGCAAGACAACCCAGAAAGCAAACAGAGCGGCACACTAGTAACCTGCAGGAAAGTAGACCAGCCCAACAAACTTGTAAATGAAACGTGACCGACTTTGTTTGGGGAGACTAACTTAAACCTAACCACTTTTTCCTCTATTTCTCCCTGTTATTTTTTAAAGAGACAGACAAAGTGTCTATCACGAAAGGTTCCTTCGCCCTGAGTTCACCTTAATCATCATTCATCGTCATCGCTGCCATAATAAATGTCATTTTCACCATCACCACCATCATTATCATCCTTCCCCGTGTGGGTTCCTGGGCCCCATCGTGGGGAAAAAATTAGGAATAGAGACAAGGAACAACCAACTGCACACAAATAAGCCAGTAAAACAGATATACATTCAAAACTCAGGCCCTGGCACAAAGTCCAAATGGATAACACAAATTAAGTCTTTTCATCGGTACTTACACCCGTGAAGGAAGAAGAACAAGAACAGCATCCTCGTCACTATCCTCAGTATCATCATCGCTACCACCACCACCACCACCACCACCACCACCACCACCACCACCACCACCATTATTATCATCTTGATTATCCTGGGTCGGCTCTGTGGCTAAGTCGATGCGAACGCTTCGTAATGCCGGGATGCCGTGTTCGATTCCAGCTGCGGGCCGTGGGCCTTGCGTTGGTTTCGACAGTGGTATCAAGAAAGCCGACCGTCCAGAGGGCAATGGCAAACTACCGGACGTAAATTTGCCTAGAAAAACCACACAATAGCCAGGGGCTGTTGGAGTTGGTTCTGCAAAGTCCTGCAAAGGATACGCAACTAACCTAGATCATCCTGGTGATCATCATCGCCGTTGTCATTATGGTGAATGTTGAATTAAGAATCGACATCACATCACTTGGGACACTTACATAAGTGCTAAGTTCCCATCCTTAGCAGCAAGCGAAGAGTTCCAACTCCGATTGTACCAGTACCCGTTTAATTATATTTATGTCTCATCCTTCCCCTGAGTGTTGAGCGTCGGCCAGATCCCCTTGTAACTCCTCGCAGCGTCATTTCCCTTAGACCGTAATGATCTATCTGCGCCTCCGCACTGTTCACTCGCTGCCAAAGGGCCCTTACAATATCTAACTTGTCATATATCAATTCACCAACCAGTGGTGCAGGGCCAGCCAGTCTGTCTGCCTGCTCGTTGTGTCCTCACAGACTGCTTAAGCTTCCAACAGACATCTGCCTCCGCTGCTCTGGTTGGTATCCCTAAACCTCCGCTGCTCTGGTTGGTATCCCTAAAGGCACCGTCTCAGACCATCCAGATCCGTTCACTGGATATGCTTACTGACGTGGTTTGCTGTACACTGTTCTTAAATGACTATTTTCTCATTAAACGGGCAGAGATCATTATGTCTGCATTTCTCGTGTTTGCCTGGATAGCACTGTATACTGACATTCGCAATGGTACTGAAATCATCACTAGTTACCAGCGTTATAAGAGCTAACAGACTGTAAAGTTTAGGACATCTCTTTTGACTTTAACAGTCTCTCTGTTGAAAATGTAGTAAGGACCCTTTTTTACCCATTGAGGCGTATCGTGCATATATGGCTAGATTTTTAGAACATGAAGGATACAGGTATTGAGGAGGACTCATGGGAACAAAATGCCATGGGCCTTGTTGTGTGGAAAGGGCATATCAGGAAGGATGTTCAGGATATTCTGCCAGACTAAAGGAAGAAATGATTGCAGAAAGGATGAGAGCTGAACGTCTGAAAAGAAACGGATTAAACTAAACACAAATGTTGACAAGAATGGTCCTGAAATCCAATGCTGTCATTGTGGAAGACTTTTCTTGACACGGGGTGGGTCTTGCTAGTCACACTCGCCATCGCCATGGGCTGTGAGTTTCATGCCTCCTCATAGCGCAATATAACACCATCGTCTGGAAAGACGGAAAGGTGCCAATGATGATATTTTTTAGACCAATCGGCACTTGCCGGGTGATGTGGTCAGCATAACACCGGCCTGTCTTGTTTTCTGAGGACTGAACATGGTACCCGCTCAAGTCTGGGTTGACATGGGAGCCAAGGACTTTTTTTTTTTTTTAACATAAGTTCGGCTCCGTCAGGACCCAAATCAACTACCTTCCGATCTGCAGGCAAGCGTCTAGCCGCTACACCACGGCGGCGCACTGAAATTGTAATATCTTAGGGCAATAGATTTTTCTCCCTCCCATAGAGCTGACAAATACAGCTTCAGGAAAGAAGCTGTTAAAAAGTAATACGTGGAAACTAAGGGGTTAATGTAGGAAAAGAAAACATTACCATGTGTGGTGAAATCAAATAACGTAAGGTGAGATCCTTGGTAGGTATACAAACGAATGAACAAACGAACTTTATTTTCAAAGGGTTACAAATTGGGCACTCAGGCCCGTCTGACATTCGGCCCTTCTAAGCACTCATTTTTCAGAGAACCAATGCCTGTTATCAATAATGCATGTTATGGAAATAATAATGAAATTTACATTATAGAATAATGCATGCACGCATCATGGCTGGCTCTGCACCACTTGGTGGTGAAGTGATTTATGACAAGTTATACAGAGGGAGAATGGCAGGGAAACAGCGTTGAGAAAAGAGTTCAGTGGTGTAGACCCGAAGGTGAACTAAGATGACTATATTAAGATCATGTCCATCCAGACCTATTTACAAACGCTTGGAGTCAGCTACTGAAAAGATCAGTCGGGTAACACAGATGAATGCACCCGAATGATACCTGCAGCAATCATTGAACTTCAAGAGTTTGAAATGCTGAAGAAGGTTCTATACTATTAGTAGCTTTTAGTAATCACTTTTAACATTGAATATCCAATGCAAAAGAAAAACAAGTCAATGATCTTCAGCTGTTTTTTTTTTTTTTTTTTTTCACAGGCTTACACAAGCCGAGCTTCCCCACTTCCATCGTTGGACCACGGATACCCGCCAAACGGCCCCATTGTGCATCTTCACGTAACCATGAAGCATCCTCTGTCACTTCCGTTATATGTTTTTGCACCAGGAATTTACGACATCAGATACGATGTTGACTTGGAGAGTAAGTAACAGGCTCATTTCACATTCTGACAGATCACGAAAGCAAGTCCAAGTCCAAGTCCTTTTGAGAAGAAAAAAAAAAAAAGAACAGCTCGATCACGTTCTGACTGCTGCTAGCTAGCCGAGGCTGCTAGCAGTCTCCGTCTATATTTGTGGTCTGGGTTATTTGCGTCACTTTCGTCACTGAATTCTAGTGTTTGTGCCATTTCTGGGCTTGATGCTTCCATCCGAATCAAACCGCTCGTCCTCCAACCTGTTGTCACTGGTGCATGTCTTTCTTCTTCTTCCTTGGTGTTTCCTGTTTGTTTTGTGAGTGAGTGAGTGACTTTCTACCCCATTAGGACATCACACAAGCGATAAACACCTGATGACACAAAGTGCCACCATGTGGATGAGGATCACCGTGGAGAGGTCCCAGAAACCGCGTTCAGACATTTGGCCATTTTTATGGCCTGCCTATATTGCGGCCCCTGGCAAAAGCCAGAGTGGGGCTTCAAATAACAAAAAATTACGTCCTGAAAAGGACGTAAGGATTTGAAACTACATTACTTTAGGTTTGTTTTGTCTCCCTTTGATCTGGCTAGGCGTATCTCGTAGGAGAGCGAGCTTCCATACACAAATCACGAAAACAGGAACCGCAAACGTTTTCATAGGGTCACAGTTTGGCCACGCAGGCAAGTCATCCACGGTCCTTCAAACGTTCATCGTTCACATCATCATGTAGCTGGTCCTTTGCAGAACGTCGCTCTCATCACGGTATGTATGAAAGAAATTTAGTCTCTTGCTAGCTCTCCCACTTCATGTACTTTCATATTCAAGGAATCACTTATGTCCTGTGCCCACCATCGTAGGCGTCCGTGGCTTAGGCGTTGTGAGTCCGACTCGTAATTCAACGTACCGCAATCGAAACCCACTCCTGGCTGCGTGTATTTTTACCATGGTAGGGGGCGTCGCAGGTCGACCCAGCCTAAAATGGGTACCAGGATGGCTGCCCTGGGGAAGTAAAGACGGATGGCGTAATGCTGACCACTTACCCATCCAGTGCCGATTGGTCTGTAAAAATATGGGACGCTCTTCCCATATACCCGATGCGCCTAAACGCGTGAAAAGGGATCTTTACTTTACTTTACCACCATCGTAGAACCATGCCTTCTGCTATTGTTTTTTCCAAATCCGCCATGGTGCTTGATGTGACCAGCATATTTCAGTTTTCCATCGTTCACAAAAAAAAAAAAAATATATATATATATATATATATATATATATATATATATATATATATATATATATATATATATATATATATATATATATTATTTATTTATCTATTAATTATACCAAGAAGACGATGAAGAGATTATGTCCAGTCAATGACTGGGGTGTTTTTCTATTGTAGGTGTCCACAGAAGCACGGGACTGGTCAATTTTGGTATCTACTCCAAAACATCATCACCACTTCCAGAACTTACTAGCGACTGCTATTTTTTTCGGGTATAGTTTCTTTCCCATTTATTTTTATATGTATATGTTGAATATATAAAAAATATACATACAAGGCGATTATGCAGTTCTTACACACACACACACACACACACACACACACACATATATATATATATATATATATA